GCCGGCCAAAGTCTCGTCGGGGTGAACGCCGCCGGGGAGAGCGAGCTCATTGCGAAGACTGGGCTCGCTGCTGCGCCGTCACGCTGAACGAGCTCGACCGAGGGTCTTCTGACCCACAGCCGCTGGGCTTGCGGGCTAGTGCCGGGCAGGAGCGCAGCTTGGGGATGATCCAGACTGCGGTAGCCGAGCTCGGTCGCCCGCCCGCTGACCTGACGCGCCAGGGAGCCCTAGCGGAGCTCCTGGCTAAGCGCAGCTACACCGGAGAAAAGGTGTCTGTCGCTCGGCTTGACATTTCCTTCTTGTCCTTGCCTTCTGGCGGGGACGGTCCTCGAGCCTTGTCGACGTTGCTCGGGGATGAGGGCCCAGTGGTAGTCGAGGCCTTTTTAAAAGACAAAGTCTTGCCTCCATCGGAGGCGGCGGCGCGGGTGGCCGAGTCGGCCTTGAAGCGCCCGTGCTATGATCCTTCGCTGCAGGGCAGGCCGCGCAGGCACGCGCGCCTCCTGGCGGCCCTCGACGGCGCAGGCGTGCTCGAGTGGAGGCGGCACGCGTCGCCTCGAGTGGGCCTGTTCACGGTTTGGAAAAAGAACGGCAAGCAGAGGTTGATTGTTGATGCTCGTCTGTCTAATCTGTGCTTCGCTCAGCCTGACTCTGTGGACCTTGCCACAGGCGGATCGTTTGCTTCGAGGTCGACCCCGGACCCCTAGTGTGCCTGGCTCAGGTCGACATCCAGGATGCGTTTTATCATCTTCCCCTCCCCTCTGAGCTGGTGCCTCTCTGCCTCCGACCCGTCGCGGCTGGACTCGCCGGAGTGGGTGAGCTCGATGGTGCGCCTGCCCCACCATCCCAGCTGGTGTATCCTCATTTGCGTGTTGCGCCTATGGGGTGGAACCATGCGTTGTGGTGGTGCCAGCGAATTCACGAGTATCATGCCTTCCGGGAGCCCGGCGTGACCCTCGCTAACAAGCTCTCGGATAAGAAGCCGGGAGTGCAGCTAGGGCGCTCGGGGTTTGCTCACCACCGAATACGTAGACAACTTTGCTGCCATCGGCCGTCGGGCCGAAGAGGTCGACGCCGTGGCCAATTCCGTTCACGAGGCTCTTACCGCCGCGGGGCTCAGGATGCACCCTCGTGAGAGCTCGACTGGCGGCTCCGTCTTGGGCTGGGACTTCAGTGAAGAGCGCCCCCTGGTTCGCGTGAGCCCTTGCAGAGTGTGGGGGCTCCGTCTTGGCATCGAATGTCTCTTGGAGAGGGGCTTTGCTACTGGCAGGGGCCTCGAGGCCATCATAGGACATTTCACGTTCGCCGCTCGGATTTGACCTGAGGCCCTCTGCGTGTTTTCGGCGGCGTACGCGTTCGCTCGGCGGGGGGCCGAGGCCCGTCGTAAGTTGTGGGCCGCCGTGCGGAGGGAGCTTCGCTGGGCAATAGGGATCCCCCCCCTCCTCCGTCGTCGCCTCGATGCCGAGTGGAGCCCAAAGGTGCGGTGCACAGACGCTTCCCCCTGGGGGCGAGGTGTGCGCGTGGCGGAGCGCGATCTCCAGTCCGTCGCGGAGGCTGGCCGATGGTCGGACCGGTGGCGCTTCTTGCGGGGGGTGGAGGATCGGGTTCGGCCGAGGGGCGCCTCGCCCCGGGAGGAGCTCAGCATCCCTGGGGTTGCTCGGATCGCGTTTTTTGATCCGGCACTTTTCGACATTGCAATTTTGATCCAGGGCCTTGTTTTTGATCCAACGCGGTCACGCGGCACAATTTTGATCCAGGGCCTTGTTTTTGATCCAGGGCCTTGTTTTTGATCCGCGCATGGTTTTTGATCCAGCACACTGTTAGGCTTGTACCGTATGTGCACATGACCAATTCATATATATATGTATACATATACATACATACATACATACATATACATATGTATATACAGGCGCACATACATATATATACCATAACCGTATACACATACTAACACACATGCACATACATAATCATATATACATGTATATGATTATATACATATACATACACACATACAGATACACGTATTTGCACATATATACATATATACATATAAACACAGTTACATACAACTATACACGTATATACATATACACATATGCATACATATAAACATATTACACATATATACACATATGGAACACTTTTTATATATATATATATATCACGCCCGGGGACCACGATGAGGTCCGCGGACTACGCCTGGGAACGCGCGCCCGCGCTGCAGGGCGCGCCGCGTTCTCAAGCGCGGGGCGCCCTAAAGCGGGGGTCGGCGGACTCACGCGCCTGGCGGCCCGATGGCGGCCCGCGGATCACGCCCCAGGTCCCCGATATTCGGGGCGGCGGTTGAATGCGCGGAGGGGGGTCGAACATCTTCTGCGCAGCGTCAGGGGAAAAGGGAGAGTAGTATTCACATTGTGTAGTGGGGGGTGCGTCGCGCTGTGCCGCCTTGCCCCCTTCCCCCCTTATACGTATCCCCGTCGCCGCGTGACCTTCTGTCATCGAATGTTGGCCCAAACGTGTTGTCGGCGCCATGAGGATGGCGATGCGATACTGGGCCGCATCAGCAACCCCCCGACCATAATGCAGAGGCATCCCGACGTCAGTCGAGATGCAGAGGCATCCCGACTGACGGGCCACTACAGATTTCTCAACGTGACGGCGCGCGGCGGCTACTGGACATGCAGTGGCTACTGGAGAACCTGGGACAATGATGCCAATCCGTCCCAGCCCGACGCTGCACATCAAACCAGCAGCAGTAGCAACGCAGCAGCAGCAGCAGCTCCAGAACGGCCACCAAGCCCGTCCAGCAGATCGAGCAGCACCTCGAGCTCAGACCAGCCCATGCCCGACGCTGATCAGCAGCAGCCCCAGCAACCCCAGCCCGAGCAGCCCCAGCCCGTGCCGCCCGATCCGCCCATGCCCGACGCTGATCATCAGCAGCCCCAGCCTGTGGTGACTTTCGTAATTGATGATGCGCCTGGTAAGGCGATAAGCAGAGTAACGCATTATATGAACTGCCACAGGTTCGAGGCAATGTGCGGATTTCACGGTTACAGGTGCCGTCGGACGCGCTCATCGCTTCGTGCACGTACTGCCATGGAGGTGATATCGCGTCCAGGGAAGGGGCGTTGCGTTGGCGAGCTCATCGCGTGGGTGGCGGCTGGCAGGTGGGTGCCTGCATGTGAGCACGCGGCTTACCAGCCTCCCAAGGCAGATCGGCGCACTGGCAGGAACGACGCAAAGCTGTCGCAGGCTGGGCGCAACCTCTTAAGCAGGGAGCGCGCGCAGGAAACCGAACCTGACAGCGAGCCCAATTCACCGTTCTAGGCGCACCTCCATGCAAGGTTCGTGGGAGAACGGGGGAAGGCAACATGGAAGGATAAATGCGTTCGGAACATGTTGTTTATGCATGGAGGTTCCACGCCACTAGCCAAGAGCTTCCAAGACGGGAGCTTGTCACTTGCGCGGTGGCTCGAAGCTGCAACGCGACGCAGACTCGGTGGAAAAAGACACACAAAACAACCCACCACCACCACCAACAACAACAACAACAACATCACCATTCACTTTACCCGAACGCTCAGTGTTCTCACCAGTGCCAGGGTTTTCATGCGACGCCAGCCAATACCCCCACTTTGTGGGGGGGCAGTGCAAGCTCTACCAAATATCCACACGACTCTTCGCCACCACCCACACCCAGCTTCCCGCCCTATGACGTTCGGACACTTCACTTCGTGGCCTGCGGACGACCGTGGCTACTACACTGGCGTGGAGTACACACCCACAGAAGTTGTTAAGCCTACGTTCGTACACCCACAGAAGTTGTTAAGCCTTGTTAACCCACAGAAGTTGTTAAGCCTTCCACAGAACATCTGTTGCATTGGAAACCATTGGTTTTTTTAGGATTCGGACAGCGCGCGCGGGTAGAAATTTTGAAAAATCGTGCAGGTGTTTTTCGAGGACCTACGGTGCGATTCGTGTGATTTTATGATGCGCGGTGCTAAAATTCTTAAGAAGCCCAATGGTTTTTGGAGATTTCGGCGTGCGCGCGCGAAGAAAAAACGAATGTGTCCCGCATGGTATTATTTGACAGGGATGATGGCCCTGGCAGGTGCGCAACCGTTGTCGCAGAAGTTCGAAAAAGTTGCTCGCAAAAGCCCGTTTGACAGAAATGTTTAAAAAGTGTTGGGTTTCCTACGAATCCGCAAGAGCGCGCGGGATGAGATTTTGACATTTTTTTGTTGAAAAACCATTGGTTTTTTGATGTTTTTATGTTAAAATCGCTCCGAACACTAAGCTTTTGGAAGGATTTCGTCTTGCGCGCGCGAATGTCCACTTTACCTTATTTTTTGCAAGGGATTCTTGAAATTTGATTATATTAGAACAAGAAATGTCATTTTATAGTGTTTTTTGCAAGGGAAAACGGATTACAACAAAACAACCGGATCTGGATCACATCGTTTTACTTGAGGCTTCCTCACGAAAATAATGAAAACGTGGCTGCGGCCTAGGCGCGGCGGGGGGGGCGTGCACCAGGGGTCCCAACAAAAATTATTCTTAAGAAGAAATAATGTTCAACAACAACAATAACACAGCCCCGTGGTTCGCGCGCCGTGACCCGGCACCCCCGTTCCCCCCTCCCTTCACGACGTCTCTCCCGTCACCGCGGGCCCCTCTCTTCTTTAGTTTCGGCCTAAGGTCGGCAACGCGAGGATGGCGACCCCCCCGACCGACCCGATTGCCCAGCGCATCAGCATCCTTGATACGTTAGACGAGCGCGCTCTTGCCATACCGCGAGGAGCTCTCAGGCCAGAGGGGCGTCGACGGCGAGGCACAGCGCACTCGTCATTGCAATGAAGGACTGGGCCGTCGTCGTCGTCGCCCTCGTTTCGTCGTCGTCGTCGCCCTCGTCGTCGTCGTCGTCGTCGTCGTTGTCGTCGTCGTCGTCGTCGTCGTCGTCGTCGTCGTCTTCCTTCTTCCTCCACACCCCCAACCAGGACGCTGGCAACAAGGGGGAGCTAAAGGTCATGTTCCAGAAGGTGGCGCAGCAACGCAGTTCAGAATGGCAGCTCGGTCCCGAAACAGAGAAATGGGCAATGAAAATTGGCAAGCGAGCTCAAGCGATGCGCCGCGACGTCCAGCAGGCCATCACGAAAGCCAAGGATAGTGGCAACGCTCCCGAGTGGATCGCGCCGCTCATGCAGGACACGGCCGACGAGACGGAGTGCGACGTCGAGCAGGTCTGCTATGGGATTCAGAAGGGCGTCAAGGAGCCCATGCGAGAGGAGTCTTTGCCGCTGGGGCCCAACGACGAGAGCGAAGAGGAGCTGGTCCCAGCGAAGAGGCCCGACGGGTTCCTGTTCAGGATCCCAAACTTGACGAGTAAGACGTTCAGGGCCTTGCAGAAGGACAACGGACCAGGGAGGCGGCGCCCTGGAAGCATGACCGAGATCACGCGGGAGGTGGCCAAGGACGGAGCTACGTGGCGACTGATCGACGCTCAGGTGTTCCTGACGTCGCTTTTCCTGAGCATCGTCAGGGCACAGGGCACGGCGATGCCCATGTTGCAGCGGGTCGTGACGCGCCACGCCGCAGACGAGAAGGAGAAGGCCGCATGGGAGAGGTGGGGGAAAATGGGGGAGGAAAAGGATGGGGGGTCATCGAGTCAACGGTCGGTCAACGCACGTGCGTTGACTTGCCGTTGACCCGAGGACCCCTCCGTTGACCCGATGACCTCCCCCCCCTCCCCGGTGGGAAAGCAAGGGCTTCCACGAGGGCGCGAAGTTATTCGCGCTTCGCGGCTCGCGGTCCTCATTCCTCCTCCCCCATCCTCCTCTTCTCCCCTTGGGGGGGCGGCGCGAGAGCGCGCAGTTGTTCGCGCTTCGCGCAGCGCGAAGAGCGAAGTTAGGAGCCCCTGGAAAGGGGGGGGAGGGGGGGGAGGGGGGGGAAACAGCGCTCGACAACCGTTCCGCTCCACCCCCCTTGGAGCCCAAACCCTTGGAGCTCTCGACCCAATCCCTGGGGCTGGGGCCCAAGCCCTCGGAGCTCTCCACTTAATCCCGCGGTCAAGGGCCCAAGCTGGAGCTTTCGGCTTAATCCCTGGTGCTGGGGCGCAAATCAATAGAGCTCTCGGCCCGCTCCTTGGGGCCCAAACCGATGGAGCTTTGGGGCCCAACATATGCCCCCCCCATCAAGTGTTTCCGTAGCCGTTTCGGCACATTTGCAGTTTTGCATTTTGGGGCTGAGTTCCGATAGTGAGTCAGCAAGGCGATAATATGAGTGCAGATGTGTATTCTATTATTGAAGACATGTGGCCATACAGGCAGCTCATCCTCACCGACCTGGGAATGCAGAGCGGCGCGATAAACAACGAGAGCAACCTCAAGCTGCATCGGGACACACTCTTTCACACTCAAGTTCTATGTGGCAAGGGCGCCCAAGGACCATATCCTGGAATAAGTGGGTTCCAATCGACAAAATTCACGTCTCACGACAAACTGAGTTTCAGTGGAAAACAATTGAAGTACGGCTTAGTATATTGGGGCCCACCCCACTGGGGAGAAACAAGCACGGATTGCAATTGGCGCAAATGGCGCGACTCGGCGGAATTTAAAACGAACGCGTTTGAGAGCATGTCATGGCTCTCTGGTGGAGCACTAACGCTCATGACATTCGGGGAGCACTACAAAGTGGAGTTCTGGTCGCCATTGTACAACTCAACGGATATGCCCGATACTAGAAGCTGGAGTTCTGCCAGGGATATTTCAGGCACTACACGCCATTAGCTAGCGGAGCAGAGTATAACGAACTTCACTCGCATAGGAGAGTCATGGTTGGAATGTTGGCGCCAGCTAGGTTTCAGCACTGTGTCAAGATGCGCGAAGAGGGCCCAACTATCCTCGACGTGGGGGCTACTATGCTCAACACTTTAGAGTCACTCCCCTCGGATGAGTGGGGCGTGGGACTAGGGGGGCAATCGTTTTCACTATCGCACGAAATCCATTTGGCGAAGTTGGAGAGGGACGACATCAATCAGACTATACATTCGCCCCCGCAGTAATTACTAGGACAGCTCTTTCTCGCGAGTGGAGGCCGCGGCAAGCAACTCTGCAGTTCGTGGTTCTATGCCCCAGATCGATGCTGCATCCATTGCACATTGTTCAAGGTACCGAATTCCAAGATACATGGCGCTTCATTTTAAATTCCAAGATACTGCGCCCCTGGTTCACTGGTCAAGGAGCAAAAAGGGTGGCGCATATTCATGGTTCTGAGTTCAACAGACATGACTATTGCACAATAGCAGCCTCGCATGATTTGTCAATCGGCGCGTTTGGCGCTCGCTAGCCCAAGGGGCGCACATAGCGTGAGTCCCATAATTAAATATTGGATGGGGAACCGGCCCCCCGCAGTACTCTTGGCAGGGCCCTCGGCCAGTGGGGCACCAACGAGCGAGGCAAACCAGGAGGACATTTGTTTCAAAACGTTGCGATCCCCCTCCCCGCTCTGATCTCGCTCTCTCATCCCGCTTCCTTCCTCCGACTAATTCCTCACTCCTCTGCTTGCGTTCCTCATTCCCAATTCACCCTAGATCCTCCGATCGTCACCCGTGTCCACCGGGTAATTCGGGCGAGGTCGACGATCTGGATCGAAATCGTCCTGTCCTCCTTCGCCCCTCCCCCACCCCCCTCCGCCCATGTCCCCGGGGCGGCCGCCCCGTGAACGCCGACAAGTGCGGTGGCAAGTGCGGTCCCAAGGCCACCCCCTCAGAGCGGTGTCAAGTGGGGAGGGCGGGGGTCGCCGGGTCAACAGAAGATTACCATCCCCCCCCTCAAGGTCAACGCTCGTGCGTTGACCTGCCGTTGACCCGATGACCCTCCCCCCCCTCCTCCTCCTCCTCCACCTCCTCCTCCTCCTCCTCCTCCTTCCCCTCCTCCTCCTCCTCCTCCTCCTCCTCCTCTTCCTCCTCCTCCTCCTCCTTCCCACTCCGCCCTGGTGTCTGCCGCCCTGCTATTCCAGCTGTGGTGGTTGTGCCTGCAGTGCGCCTTCTAACGACCTGATGGGTATCGAGCGGTGCTACATCGCGTCGCTCTGGGCCGTCTCCTTCTTGATATATTGTGCGTCTCCCTGTAGACTGGCGCGGCCTTGGCCCTCGTCGGCGGCCAGCACGCAGGGGGCGACGCCCTTCCATTCGGCCGCCAGGGCCGTGCCGCGGGGTGGCAGTAGCCAGATCCTTCGGGTGACCTCCGTCCCCGTCCTTGTGTCTGCCACCCTGCTATAATATTCTGGCATGCAGCTGTGGTGGTTGTTCCTGCAGTGCGCCTTCTTCGCGGACTGGGCCGTATCCTTCCCTATATTGTGCGTCTCCCTGTAGGCTGGCGCGGCCTTGACCCTCGTCGGCGGCCAGCACGCAGTGGGGCAACACCCTTCCCTTCCGCCGCCAGGGCCGTGCCGCGGGTGGCAGTAGCCAGATCCTTCGGGTGACCTCCGTCCCCGCCCTGGTGTCTGCCACCTTGCTATTCTGGCATGCAGCTGTGGTGGTTGTTCCTGCAGTGCGCCTTCTTCGCGGCGGCGACGTGAACGGTATCGAGTGGTGCTACATCGTGTCGCTCTGGGCCGTATCCTTCCCTATATTGCGCGTCTCCCTGCAGGATGGCGCGGCCTTGACCCTCGTCGGCGGCCAGCGCGCGGGAGGGGGCAACACCTTTCCCTTCGGCCGCCAGGGCCGTGCCGCTGAGGGAGTGTAGCCAGATCCTTCGGGTGACCTCCGCCCCCGCCCTGGCCAGTGCCCAAGAAGGGTCTAGAATGTGGATTTCGCGTTCGGGTCCCCGCCCTAGCTGCGCAGAACAGCTTGCGCCTTGGATGCTCGGGTTTGGCCCTGGACGTTCGGGCCAGGCCTTGGATTTTAAAGACTGCGCCCTGGATTGTCAATTTGGCCCTCGACGAACCCTGAATTTCTTTGGATTTCCTGGGGTTTCTGGGCCGCGCCCTGAATTTCTTCGGATTCCTTGGGGTTTCTGGCCCGCGCCCTGAATTGGTCGAGCAGAACGCTCCCCGCGGGCGCCGAGGCCACCCGTTGACCAACCACCTGTTGACCACCGTTGACCGCTTACTGTCCCTGTGTTTTCACAGGGAAAGTGAGGTCATCGGCCTAGCGTTGACCACCCGTTGACCCGTTGACCGTTGTCCCTTTGACCTCCAGGGCAGATGTTTTGAGGGCCGAATGGTGACGGACCAAATTTTCTCGGACCGCAGTGTCGATGGGGCTCGTTCAGCTGGTGAAGCCGCTCACGGCCGCCTTCCGCAATGTTCTAGGCGTCGTCCTTCGATCCTCGATCGTGGATTTCCTCGACCCTCGGTCCTCTCGATATCGTCGCTCGTCGCGATCCTCGATCCTCGTTTCCCGATCCCCATCGGCCCTCGATCCTCGATCCTCAGCCTCTCGGTCCTCGGTATCCTCGATATCGCCGGCCCCCTGGATCCTCGATCCCCTCGATATCCTCGATATCGTCGACCCCCTCGATCCTCGATCCTCGACCCCCTCGGGCGGCCGAGCGATGGCGGCGCTCGAGGGGGGCACCGATGCCCCATCGCTGTACCCATCCCTTCCCCCGCTCCCCCATCCCCCTCGCCCCCTCCTCCTCGGGCCTCGAGGGCGCCCCCGAGCCGAACATGCACGGCGGCAACGGCAACGGGGAAGAGGGGGGGGAGGAGGAGGGGGGGGGCTCTGGGGGGAGGGGAAGGGAAGGGGCCGACTGGAAAAAAACATGAGATCGGGAGGAGGGGAGGGCGCATGGGGTGGGAAGGCATGCGAGAGTAGAAAAAAACAAGCTAGCTGCGCCACATCTGAATTGTAGGAGGGCTGGCTAAGTGCGCCACATCTGACATCGCCCTTCCATTCCCCCCCCCCACCACGCACACACACACACACGCACACACATACACACACGCACACACACACACACACACACACACACACACACGCACACACGCACACGCACACACACACACACATGCGCGCTACATCTGACATCGCACCCTCGGTAGACCCTAGCTGCGGCTCGAGCGATTTCGAAACCAGTTCGGCGCCCTTCGCGAGCGCTGGCGCTAGACTCCACCGCCTCGGCGCCAGCGACACGGAGACGAAGATGCCATCGGACATGGACACCGCGATGAAGGAGATGTCGGCCGGGAATCTTCGCCTGAAAAAGGAGGTCGAAGCACTCGCCGCCCGCGTCGACCAGGGGGGCGGCAGCAACATGATCGTCGACGACCTCTGGAAGGACGACACAGCCTACATTATCCACGGGCTGAACAAGATGATGAGGATCCCTTTCTGGTCGGATGATATCGGCCCTTGCGGGTCGCGGTTTCCGATGTACGTGCGCGCGATGACCGAGGGCAAGTGCAAGGGCAAGTTTCCGACGATTGCGGAGCGCAAGGCCGAGTTGAAGCGGTCCTACTCCTGGCTCAACGACCTCAGTGTTCAGCCAGAGCTGTATATTGTCAAGCTCCCGAACTGGGGCGAACCAATTCCGAAACAGCCAGAGGTTGATAGGTGCCAACTAACCGACGACTGGATCGTCAACGACAAGACGGCCATCTACATGAAGATCCCCCTGCAGG